GATATTTCCCAAGAATAGTAAGTCAGGGATGAATTCTTGGTGAGAATCCATGGAGCTAGCTAGGGTTCTGGAAAAACCTGGCAGTTTTGGCATACTTAAATGTATTATGTTTGAGGAATACTAGCGAGCTTAACCTTCATGCTGGCTACACCATTTTAAACTTTATACTACCATGGGGACACTCTAAGTTGCACTGTACTTGCTATCACTGTATTATTGTATTCATTAATATTGCTCCTCTTTATAGTGGAAGGAAATCCCAATGTGCCAGAGAGAGCAGGATCAGAATCCACCCAGGATGGTTTGAGGTATGGTATTTCAAGTTTTTTTTCCCCTTTTTTTTGTTATCGAAATTACATTCAATAGGAAATCATGTTTTAGTAGAAATAAGATACACTATAATTTTGTTGTTATAGTGAAATGATACAAATCCTTTTAATTTTTTATTAAAAATACAGGGCTCAATTTAACTTTTTGGTGATTTTGGTGACAAGCCAACTGGGCTAGTTTACTGGATATTTTACTAACCCAGTCATTTTACATCAGTAACGTTATGTTCTTGGCCAAGCATACTTGAAGCAATAGTTTATAACTGATCACTGGCCCACTGAGGAGTTTTTACTAGACATAGTATGACTAGTACTAAATCCACGCCTGGCATACTGTTTCATCAACTTTATCACTACCACCACCATTGTCATCACCATAAACATCATTACCATCATCATCATCTTCTTCAACACCATCATTACTAGCATCATCAGACAATCACTATAATCATCACATCTACTATCATCATCATCATCATAATCATCATCATAATTATCATCACCACTATCATCATTATCACCACCACCATCATCATCACTACTAAAAAATGCTGTAAACTAAATTTCTATTTTAGGGTCCTGTTTCAAATCCTGTGAAACACCAAAATTTATTCTCACTATAAAACATCATTCCATGATGTACGCAGTTGGCAGTACTTACTGTTGTATATGAAAGAAATAAACTATTAACTTAAAAACTATGTTAATTTTGTTATTCATAATGAATATTATTTTAAATATTGTCTGTTTTGTTCAGTACCTGTACTGTTGATTTTACACAAGAAGATTCAGATGAAATAAGTAAAGCTGGTAAGTCCTACATTATATTTATTGAAATACCTGTAATCCAATATTTAAATTTTTATTTCTATTAAAATTTCATCAACATTCATTAGTGGCCAATGACCTTTTAATATTGGATTGAATAATATAAGCTATTTATAAGGTTTAGACCAGGGGTGGGTATAAAAAATGGTCAAAGGGCCAAAGTCAATTTTTGATTTAACACTGAGGGCCGCACTCAAACGTTGATATGCCAGTGAACTTCCAAAAATCTCCAAGCACTGTTTTTACACCACTTTATTCTAAGTTTTAATGTTACTTTTTACATATTTAAAAAAAATTGTTATCAGGCTGCATGCAGGCCGCACGTTGCCACCTGTGGTTTAAACTAAAACGTGTTCCCTTAATGGGGTTTCCATATTTAGGAGACTTAAACTGAAAATGTGAAATTGTCCCTTAATAGGGTTGTCACCTAAAGAAGGGTGTCCAAATCTTCTGAAATCTTTCTACAGAAACAGAATAGGGAACCAAAAAACAATTTTTTTTTGGAAAATTAAATTTGACATACAAATTATAGGCCTATAACTTAGAGGCAGACATTAATAAAATTATTTTTAGTAACATTGAAATTGAAAATAAAATAGGATTGCTACATTTCATTTTGTTTATTATTAAACTTTCTCCACTCATAATACACAATAAAACAATATTAATAATAATAATATAAAGAGGCTAATTGAATGAAACAAAATATATAATACTTTTATATTGCATGACTAATATGTTATTAATTTAAATATGGTTAAATTTTAATTAAAAAAAATGTTTCAAAATATATCACACAATTGATTGTATTTGTGCTCCTATGTTTTTTTTTTACAATCAGGTCAAATATAAAATTACTAGGTGATCAGCAATATAAAGTAGATGAGGGACTATAAACTTTACTGTATGTTATCTTATTGATCATTACAGTCTTTTATTTACAAATTTCAGAAATAGATGCTACAGAAGCAAACAGAGGTAGGCACATATATGACTACATACAATAATTATATAAATATCTTCTAGAGTTTTTACATTATGTTCCAGTATGAAGACACCCAAAAACTAGCAAATTAAAACAAAGTAATACCACATTGTTAACTTGTGACTGTCTCTTATACACATCTTTGTTAAGCATATTTCATTGTTGGCTTGAATACATTTTCTTTTTACAGGCACTTTGCAAATCGTTTACTTCCTCAAAATTACCATTTTTTTTAAGGCGTTTGAATATACACGCATCATAATACTTCTTTTTATAAAACATCAATTTGGTTTGGTGAACATTGTCACTCTTGTATTTTAAGGTCTTTACATTGTATTTTGGGTGCTAAAATAAATAACTATTTTATGCAATTTAATTTTACTCTTTAAGGGAATAATATGAATTCCTCAGCAGTCAATTCAGGGCCTACTTCAGGTAAGTGCAGTATTCTATCATTTATTTATATACTGTACTACACCTTAAAAAATGCCCTGGAACTTCTAAAGAAGATGTTCCTATGCCTCAGACATCATAAACATAATACTGTATAAAACCTTAAATTGACACCCTGGGCTTCTTCTTTTGTTTGCAAACTTTTCGAGGCTACTTTTGCAAAGTAAAGGGGGGGGGGGGCTTCTTTGCAAATTGAATACTGTAAATTTTGTGAATTTGTACTGTAAAACAATAAATATGGCCACTGTAACATCAATCTGTATTGTGGAGTGTATTTAACTGGCATTAAATCATCTAAACCACTGTATAAACCAAGCTTGTTTATAATTTTAATATTTTGTTTTTCGAAGTTCATGTACAGTGCATGTGCTGTACTATCTCAAAAAGAAGACTATGCTATCTTGAAAAGAAGCCCATGGCCTTCGTTTTTGAGATGGGTTCCGTTTCAAGGCTAATATTGCAAACTAAAGAGGGGGCTTCAATTCGAGATGGGCTTCATCTCAAGATTAAGCCCATTCAATTCGAGGTTTTATGGTATTTATATATAATTATTTGTGGCAAAAACAAGCCAAAACCCAGTCACTCGTCGCAAATCCTGTTTTGGAGATATTTGCCAAAACACACTGGAAAGTCAAAGTTTTGGAAATCTATTTTATTCCATAAAACGACCCTTTATATATCTATACATCATGCTATGCTGTTATTTCCCCATTTTCAATGTTAAAACAACAATTTTTAACGATTTGGTGAAGCAAAAATTTAGTTTATAAATAATCACTATATTACACTGCAGAAGCAACTGGACAAGACCACGGTGAAAACACACTGCCCAGAGACAGGGATTCCACTGATCTTGGATATTCTTTACCTCTTCTTCCCCCAGGTATTTTTTGTTGTTAATACAAAGTCAATTTTTTTTTGCTTGGTATTATAATTAATCATCTTAAGAACTTTATTACATTTGTTTTCTACATGAATAAATTTGACTTAACATCCTCAAATAAAAATTTAGAATTTTGAAAGGATGTTGTTGCATATTGGTAGTCATCCATATTTTAATGTCATTTATTTGTCAATGTTACCATTTTAAATTAAGTTTTGTCAAAGTCAAAGAAAGAAATGTTTTTGATGTTTTTTTGAAGCATAGGTATAAGTATTATATAACGAAAAAAAAAAACGTCGCAAGCGAGGATTGAATTAAAATTGAAACATCAAGCCTCTATTTAGTAGAAACTGAATCATAAATATTGTAATGTAATTGAACAGCGGAAGACTTCTATTTTCACTTTGTTTTTTTATAGATAACATTTTCCATATAATTTGTAATATTTCATATATATATATATATACTTTCTATAGAGAAACTTAAAAAGTTATAAGATTTTACTCCATAAACACTATATCTATTGATATCTATTGATATCAAAATATTGATATACTAAACTACAGTATGCACAAAAATGTATATAGTTCCAAATTTTTTTTATAGATTTGTATACATTTTATATATTTTTTCTATAGAAAACTTTTTTACGGATAAACTTTTCCATAGAGTTTGTATACATTTTATATATACTTCCTAAAGAGAAACATTTTTTACAGATTATAAACGTTTCCATAGAGCTTATATATATATATATTATAAATATTTTCTATAGACTATTGAAGTTACAGTTTTTATAATGACTCCCGCTTTAGAATATTATACAGTTCTACAGAATATACTATAGAAAATATCTGTTTTATCTACCGATTTTCCGTAAATATTTCACAGATTCTCTATAGACCATTTTCGCAAGATTTGAAAATAAAATTTCTGATAACCTAGCAACAACCACTGGGGGACTTTCCTAGCATTTCGCTCTACGTAGTTACCATCGTGAATTAAATCAACGAAACATCTAAATTACTTATGAGCACAAATATTTTAAAATGGAAAGATCGTATCTGTTGTCTACTGCTGCTATAGCAAAGGTCTAGGGAATCATCTATGGCGCAATGCTCTATTTGTAACTCCAGCTGCTCAGGCTAGGCCGCTAGAAGTACCCCAGTGAGTTGCGAGACTTTGGCGGCGCTGTTTAAAAATAAATCTGATAAAATGGTTTATAGGCTTCCCATTCCTCTAAAATTACCTATTTTCCCAGATTTTTTAAGATTCTGTAAAATAAACTTTTGAAATTTCATATACTGTTTGTTATGCTCTATAGAGATTTTATATATTCCTAAAGATAATCCCTGTAAGATTTATATAGTAAATTTTGAAAAGAAACAGGTAAAAGCCTAGTGTTTTATAGAATAAATATAGAAATTCTGTAGTTAGTTTTATTATAGAGAACCTTGTTATATCGTTTCTATAGAATATTCTATAGAATTTCTATAGAATATGCAAGATGTATTAAACATGTTGGTACAGCTACTAGTCAGACAAGAAAATATATATTTGTGTCAATGAAATAATGAATAAAACAAAAAAAAATTAAAGGTTATAGGTATTACATTAAATATGTGTATATAGAATGTTATAGAATTCTATAGAAACTAGTTCCTCTGTAAAGCAATTTTATAGAATATATTAATTTCTATAGAAATTGATTAGTCTCTATGGAAGGTCTATAAAGTTCAATAGATTTGTTTTTTAAGGGCATGGGCCCACTTTCAAACTATCAGTGATTGATGCGTCGTCGCTGGTGGCCCGTGGCCTACTACTAGTTTGTAACACTGATCAGTACCAGGCCTAGCACTTCCACTTCGTCTTCCTAGCTCACTCAAGACATACTGAGCTATTTTACAATCTCCACTACTACTACACTGTAACAGTAAGTCAAAATAAAAGCCTTTCGCTGTTTAATTATATACAACAATTATGATTCAGTTAGTTTTTAATAAATAGATGTAATATTTTTCAATTGTATTTCAATGATCTTTCATTTCATTGCGCTGCTACATAAATATAAGTGTATGCTATATCACAGACAATACAAACATGACCAAGCTAGTGTGAACAAGTACTGTAAATGTAATGATTAATAAGAAACTAAGCTAAGTATAACTTGTGATTAAAAAAAATCATTATTTTTGTGTCTAGATTTTGTACAATCATATTTCTCAGTAAATGGTTTTAAAAAGTTGAATCATTTATAAAGAGAAATTACATAAATTCATTGACACATCAGCAGAGGCTAGAATAGCAAGTTCTTTAAATCCACACTAGGTACAGTATGTATTCAGCCTCTCAACATTGAAATTCAGTATAAATGATAAGTGTTAGAGCATCATTCATTAAATTATGACTACTTAAAACTGGTTAATTACCATGTAGTATGATTTGACACATACATTCTTTTTGTGCTTAGTGCTAAATGCATTAATATATATGAAGTGACTGGCAAATCTTGTTTAAATTCTAATTTAAAAAAAAATTTCAAAATATATCACACAATTGATTGTATTTGTGCTCCTATGTTTTTTTTTTTACAATCAGGTCAAATATAAAATTACTAGGTGATCAGCGATATACTGTAGATGAGGGACTATAAACTTTACTGTATGTTATCTTATTGATCATTACAGTCTTTTATTTACAAATTTCAGAAATAGATGCTACAGAAGCAAACAGAGGTAGGCACATATACGACTACACACAATAATTATATAAATATCTTCTAGAGTTTTTACATTATGTTCCAGTTGAAGTCACCCAAAAACTAGCAAATTAAAACAAAGTAATACCACATTGTTAACTTGTGAATGTCCTAAGTAGACTCGCATAACAACACTTCTTTGAAACAACATCGATTTGGTTTGGTGAACATTGTCACTCTTGTATTTTAAGGTCTGTATATTGTATTTTGGGTGCTAAAGTATCTATTTTATACAAATTAATTTTACTCTTTAAGGGGATAATGTGAATTCCTCAGCAGTCAATTCAGAGCCTACTTCAGGTAAGTGCAGTATTTTATCATTTTTTTATATACTACACCTTAAAAAGCATCCTGAAACTTCTAAAGAAGATGTTTCTATGCCTCATAAGTCTCAAACATAATACCGTATAAAACCTTAAATTGACGCCCAGGGCTTCTTTTGTTTGCGAACTTTAATGAGCTTCTTTTCGAGGCTACTTTTTCAAAGTAATGAGGGGACTTGAATGCTGTAAATTTTGTGAATTTGTACTATAAAACAATAAATAAGGCCACTGTAACATCAATCTATATTGTGGATTGTATTTAACTGGCATTAAATCACCTAAACCACTGTATAAACCAAGCTTGTTTTTAATTTATTTTGTTTTTCGAAGTTCATGGACAGTGTATGTGCTGTACTATCTCAAAAAGAAGACTATGCTATCTTGAAAAGAAGACCATGGCCTTCTTTTTTGAGATGGGTTTCTTTTTTGAAGGCTAATACTGCAAACTAAAGAGGGGGCTTCAATTCGAGATGGGCGTTATCTCGAGATTAAGCCCAGTGGGCTTCAATTCAAGGTTTTACGGTATTTATATACAATTATTTGTGGCGAAAACAAGCCAAAATCCAGTCACTCGTCGCAAATCCTGTTTTGGAGATATTTGCCAAAACATGCTGGAAAGTCAAAGTTTTAGAAATCTATTTTATTGCATAAAACTACCATTTATATCTATACATATCATGCTATGATATTATTTCCACATTTTCAATGTTAAAACAACAATTTTTAACGATTTGGTGAAGCAAAAATTTAGTTTATAAATAATCACTATGTTACACTGCAGAAGCAACTGGACAAGACCATAGAGAAAATAGAACAGACCATGGTGAAAACGCACTGCCCAGAGACAGGGAGTCCACTGATCTTGGATATGCTTCACCTCTTCTTCCACCAGGTATTTTTTGTTTTTAATGCAAAGTTATTTTCCCTAGTCTATTTTTTTTCAGAATGTTATTACATTTGTTTTCTACATGAATAAATTTGACTTAACATCCCCAAAGGAAAATTTAGAAATTTGGAAGGATTAATTTGTTACACATTGTTAGTCATCCGTATTTTAATATAATTTATTTGTCAATGTTAAATTAAGTTTTGTCAAAGTCAAAGAAAGGAATTTTTTTGAAGGATATGTATAAGTACTATACGAAAATCAAAGATAATACTCATTTGAGAATGTATAACTCAATTTCATTCATTTCATTTATTTATTCGACCAATACAAATTTACAAAATGTACAGTACAACAAAAATTATTAATTAAAATTATTAATTTTAAATTATTAAAATTATCTATGATCAGAAAAAATATATTCTACATAAAACTATGCTATATCACAGAAAATACAAACTTGACAAGTATAACTTGTGAAAAAAAACAAATCTTTATTTTTGTGTCCAGATTTTTTGCAATCATATTTCTCAATGAATGGTTTTAAAAAAGGTGAATCATTTATAAAGAGAAATTACATAAAATGCATTGGCACTTCAGCAGTGGCTAGGATAACAAGTTCTCTCTCAAATGAAAATTTAGAATTTTGGAAGTCTTTTCAAAGAAAGAAATATTTTTAATGTTTTTTTTAAAGCATAGATAGAATTATTATACTGTATAATGAAAATCAAAGATAATACTCATGGGAGGATGGATAACTCTATTATCTATGATCAGAAAAAAAAAATGCTACATGAATATAAATATAATATATTATATCACAGAAAATACAAACATGACCAAGCTAGTGTGAACAAGTACTGTAAATGTAATGAATAATAAGAAATTAAGTAACTTGTGATAAAAAAAAAATCATTATTTTTGTGTCTAGATTTTGTGCATCATGTTTCTCAGTGAATGGTTTTTAAAAAGTTGAATCATTAATAAAGAGAAATTACATAGAATGCATTGACACATCAGCAGTGGCTAGAATAGCAAGTTCTTTAAATCCACACTAGGTACAGTATGTATTCAGCCTCTCAACATTGAAATTCAGTATAAATGATAAGTGTTAGAGCATTATTCATTAAATTATGACTACTTAAAACTCTGTTTAATACCATGTAGTATGATTTGACAGCGCACATACATTCTTTTTGTGCTTAGTGATAAATGCATTAAAGGGCGGCTCCGGGTATAGATTTTCTCTTCATTATGTGTTCAAATACTTCATTATAACATATCATGTGAGTAATCGCAACGGAAAAACATGCCAGCTTGGCTGAAAACGAGAATGTAAAAAATTTGCTCAAAACTGCAAAAATCTAGTGATACTATTTCTTCACTAGCTACAGTAGGTAAAAATTTTCTCCAAGTGTGACAGATGAGAAAACAACTACAACACACTTACTTTCAACCAATACATTGTACATACACTTGACACCGCGAGAATGTGACACGGTCGTGCTGCTGTGGGAATTTGTGACACTAGCCTGCAAAACGCATCGGTAAGATAATTATATAAGTAGGACCTGGCTAAGATTTGTATGCACTTAATTTAGGAGAGAATATGTTAACTGTTATAGACTAATATGAACCCTACTAAACAACATGGGATGTGTGCTAAAATCTCTATCCAGGACGAACAGCCCAAAAATGACCACACCCATTTTTAAATGGCCACGCCCCCTTTTTTCATTTTTTAAAAAGTAGGCTAGACATTATGAACATATTGAAAACAGAGTTTTTCTTTTATAAAATAACACATATGATTAGGGATCAAGTTTCAGAAATCTCACCATAATCACCAGTCTCGTTCATATGGAAATTAGCTTAAATATGCAAAATAGGGGCCACGCTCACTTCCTTACTTGATGCGCTACTTTAAATGGTAGAGTAGACAATCTGAACATGTTGCAAACAAGGATTTTTCTTTTTATAAATGAACACATGTGATGAGAGGATAACATTTCAGGAATCACATAAAACAGGTATTGTATGCTGTGTGCGATATGAGGCAATATTACTATAAATGATACTTAGCTTCCCCACACTTTCTTTGGAATTTCAATTCAGTTGTGATAATTTTAAATTGCGACGATTATTTCTTTGCAGGCCAAGCTCTGAATGCACACACAGCTAAGCTAACAAATCTCACTCTATAGGGTCTTCAGAACTAATTGCATACTGTAGAATATTTTAAGACCTTTGTATAGTTATGACACGTAAATATTGACCACTAGTGAGTACTTCCAGTGAATTAAGGTACAGGTATTGCTGGTATTGCTTCTATTACATTTTTGTTGGAATCTTGAGAGTTGCTTGGTTTCATGCGTCTGGTGGTTTTACGCACTTTCTCCTCGACTCCACAAGCATTAATCAGCTCTTGATTTCTAGTTAGCAAAACAGATAATCAAAATATACTTCAAAAATCTAGGCTACCTTGCTATCAAAAATATCTTCATAATTGGATATTTGATTTTTATTATTGGCTCTACACTTATTGTGTTGCATATTTTGTGGTACATAGTACATTTAATATTGAAGTTTTTCAATTTTTTTTCACAATATGCTGATAATTATTTCAACAGCCCCAGATGAGAGTTTATATTGCTACATACTTTTAAAATGCACAGTACTAACCACTAATAGCTCTGCTGAAGACACTTTTCATCAGGTCTTTTCTGTAGTTATAACCCTTCCCATCTTGACATGCTTGACAGCATTTTGTCTTTGGACATACCAATCAATATTTCAATGTAACAGCAACAACAACATAAAACTTTAAAATAAAGACAAAATGAGACATCTAAACAATTAGTCCTGTGCCTGGCGGCGCTTGCTCTTGGTATTGGTTTTACTCCTTTGTATATTGTCGTTTTGGTAAATGTCATTGGCGTTTTGGTCTGTTGCCGTTTTGATACTTATCATTGCCGTTTTTGGTTTATTGCCATTTTGGTTATAGCCGTTTTGGTCACTGCCGTTTTGGTTTATTGCCGTTGTGACCTACTACCAAATAATTCCGGATAATTCACTCCGACCAAAAGTGTATAGAGCCGCCTACGACCATTTGCTTTGAAAAAGTCGAGTGGATAAAGGTGGATAGTTTACTTATACGGAAAAATATGCAATTTTCAGTAGCTAAAAACATCAGAAATGAAAAATTCATTTATTTCAAATTTTTTCGTTATGCATAAAAAAAAAAGTGCAGCTTAAAAACAGGTATTCTACAAACATTTTGCACTGGTAACATAGCATATAGAAAGTGGATTTTCAGCTGTCCCCCCAGTTTAGAATTTGTGTGTAACTTCCAACCATTCGTTCTCCACAACCACACTCTTAAAAAATTGTCAAATATGAACAAATATACTTTTTTTGATACACTTGAACATATAATGAAGAGAAAATTTAGGCCCCGGAGCTACCATTAATATGTATGAAGTGAGTCAAATCTTGTTTAAAATTTAATGAAAAAATTGTTTCAAAATATATCACACAATTGATTGTACTTGTGTTTTTATTATGTTTTTTTTAGAATCAGGTCAAATATAAAATTACTAGGTGATCAGAGATTTAGATGAGGGACTATACACTTTACTGTATGATATTTTATTGATCATTACAGTCTTACAAATTTCAGAAATAGATGCTGCAGAAGCAAACAGAGGTAGGCACATATACGACTACCTACAATAATTATATAAATATCATCTAGAGTTTTTACATTATGTTCCAGTAGAAGACACCCAAAAACTAGCAAATTAAAACAAAGTAATACCACATTGTTAACTTGTGAATGTCCTAAGTAGACTCGCATAACAACACTTCTTTAAAACAACATCGATTTGGTTTGGTGAACATTGTCACTCTTGTATTTTAAGGTCTGTATATTGTATTTTGGGTGCTAAAGTATCTATTTTATACTAATTAATTTTACTTTTTAAGGGGATAATGTGAATTCCTCAGCAGTCAATTCAGAGCCTACTTCAGGTAAGTGCAGTATTTTATCATTTTTTTATATACGACACCTTAAAAAGCATCCTGAAACTTCTAAAGAAGATGTTTCTATGCCTCATAAGTCTCAAACATAATACCATATAAAACCTTAAATTGATGCCCTGGGCTTCTTTTGTTTGCGAACTTTAATGAGCTTCTTTTCGAGGCTATTTTATCAAAGTAATGAGGGGACTTGAATGCTGTAAATTTTGTGAATTTGTACTATAAAACAATAAATAAGGCCACTGTAACATCAATCTATATTGTGGAGTGTATTTAACTGGCATTAAATCACCTAAACCACTGTATAAACCAAGCTTGTTTTTAATTTATTTTGTTTTTCGAAGTTCATGTACAGTGTATGTGCTGTACTATCTCAAAAAGAAGACTATGCTATCTTGAAAAAAAGCCCATGGCCTTCTTTTTTGAGATGGGTTTCTTTTTTGAAGGCTAATACTGCAAACTAAAGAGGGGGCTTCAATTCGAGATGGGCGTTATCTCGAGATTAAGCCCAGTGGGCTTCAATTCAAGGTTTTACAGTATTAATATACAATTATTTGTGGCAAAAACAAGCCAAAACCAAGTCACTTGTCGCAAATCCTGTTTTGGAGATATTTGCCAAAACATGCTGGAAAGTCAAAGTTTTAGAAATCTATTTTATTGCATAAAACTACCATTTATATCTATACATATCATGCTATGCTATTATTTCCCCATTTTCAATGTTAAAACAACAATTTTTAATGATTTGTTGAAGCAAAAATTTAGTTTTTAAATAATCACTATATTACACTGCAGAAGCAACTGGACAAGACCATGGTGAAAACACACTGCCCAGAGACAGGGAGTCCACTGATCTTGGATATGCTTCACCTCTTCTTCCACCAGGTATTTTTTGTTTTTAATGCAAAGTTATTTTCCCTAGTCAATTTTTTTTTCAGAATGTTATTACATTTGTTTTCTACATGAATAAATTTGACTTAACATTCCCAAATGAAAATTGAAAATAAATTAAAAAGTTGAATCATTTATAAAAAGAAATTACATAAATGCATTGACACATCAGCAGTGGCTAGAATAGCAAGTTCTTTAAATCCACACTAGGTACAGTATGTATTCAGCCTCTCAACATTGAAATTCAGTATAAATGATAAGTGTTAGAGCATCTTTCATTAAATTATGACTACTTAAAACTGTTTAATTACCATGTAGTATGATTTGACACATACATTCTTTTTGTGCTTAGTGCTAAATGCATTAATATATATGAAGTGACTGGCAAATCTTGTTTAAATTTTAATTAAAAAAAATATTTCAAAATATATCACACAATTGATTGTATTTGTGCTCCTATGTTTTTTTTTTACAATCAGGTCAAATATAAAATTACTAGGTGATCAGCAATATAAAGTAGATGAGGGACTATAAACTTTACTGTATGTTATCTTATTGATCATTACAGTCTTTTATTTACAAATTTCAGAAATAGATGCTACAGAAGCAAACAGAGGTAGGCACATATACGACTACATACAATAATTATCTAAATATCTTCTAGAGTTTTTACATTGTGTTCCAGTAGAAGACACCCAAAAACTAGCAAATTAAAACAAAGTAATACCACATTGTTAACTTGTGAATGTCCTAAGTAGACTCGCATAACAACACTTCTTTAAAACAACATCGATTTGGTTTGGTGAACATTGTCACTCTTGTATTTTAAGGTCTGTATATTGTATTTTGGGTGCTAAAGTATCTATTTTATACAAATTAATTTTACTCTTTAAGGGGATAATGTGAATTCCTCAGCAGTCAATTCAGAGCCTACTTCAGGTAAGTGCAGTATTTTATCATTTTTTATATACTACACCTTAAAAAGCATCCTGAAACTTCTAAAGAAGATGTTTCTATGCCTCATAAGTCTCAAACATAATACCGTATAAAACCTTAAATTGATGCCCTGGGCTTCTTTTGTTTGCGAACTTTAATGAGCTTCTTTTCGAGGCTATTTTATCAAAGTAATGAGGGGACTTGAATGCTGTAAATTTTGTGAATTTGTACTATAAAACAATAAATAAGGCCACTGTAACATC